CATTTCACATCTTAAGAGACAAAGAAAACGTGTTCTAAGTGTAGAGTTGAAGACAAGCTGGAACCGGCTCTACATGGCCGCCTGTATCATCTCACCTCTATTCTGTTCTTAATAAACTATCTGCTATGGTTTTTACACCTTATTATGAAACACAAAGGCAATTATGAAAACAAGAAGAAATCGTATTCCTCGGGAGGCTAAGGTAGAAAAATCCTGAATTTATATCACATCTGGTTATGGAAGTAAGACTTACCCCCAAAACAAGACAACAAAATTTGCAAAAGGCAAATGCAAACAAGAGGCTGTGTTTATTTAAAAGACTCATGAGTACAGAAAACAAATAATTTTTGCATCTATTGCCTACCACCCTGAACAAGGTACCCAGGCATGTCTCTGGTTTTCCCTTTAAGAACAGCAGTTATCGGCCAGGCAGTAGTGGAGCACTTGGGAGGCAGAGCCAGGCAGATCTCCATGAATTTGAGGCTAACCTGGTCTACAGAGTGAGTTCCAGGACAGTCAGAGCTGTTACACAGAGAGGCCCTGTCTCAAAATGGTACCCCCAAGAATAGCATTTATCATTTCATCATTGTCTTGTCAGTTACATTAGAAGTTTCCAGACAAATGGGGTAGGAGATTGCCGCTCCAGGTATCGCACAAATGTCTCTTATGAGTATGGAGGAAATTATGCTTTCTTGTAGATTTCCCTGTAGATACTCTAGCTAATATAGGCACAGGCCTTTAATTTGTTGTGGCCACCAAGGACAAGATGATCCTTACAGTTCTGTTTGTTATTTTATTTCCTGACAACAAATTTTACTTTCTATTTTTGGCCTCAGAATAGAAATACATAATTGATTATCTACGGCCAATCTGTTGGAAAATTGGCTATGGAAAATGAGGGGCTATTCAATCACTGTGGAAGTCTTATTGGCTAATCAAATTTATATTCTTCCTAGCAGACACTCTCCTTCCTATTATCCTTCCCCTCCCTGGCAAAGAAACCCATTACTGGCTTATCTGTTTTTCTTCTGGAAACCTAAGGGGCACTGAAAAAGGTAACCTCGCCTTAGCGAGGGATGAGCTCTAATGAGAGAGGTCAGGCAAATGTCACCAGTCCTCTGCCAAAATGGTTTCATCTTTCAGAGTGAAGCTAATCGAGACTAGATACAGTTAATCAAGACTAGATACTAGACAGACTCTTCGTTAATTGGACCACTTATTCTAGAGGGGCTTTTGTCCCAAGGAGATGAGAGACTCTCTTGTCTTTGATTTCTGCCCATTTCTATTGCATGCAAGGTGGGGGTTAGTAAGAAGCCTGGTCTGTGACTTCCCGTGCTCATCTGATAGGAGAGGTTGGCGTGAAGATAAACTGACATTTCAGAAAGACGGCCGGCCCTACCTGCTTCGAGCCTCTCTACTTTCTCCTGCCCCCCCCTATAAAGGACAAAATTGTTTCTTCATGGTTAAAGTCAGTGTGTAGGGTGAGATTCTATAGATGACAGCAGAAAACATTTTAGCTCACTCAGCGGCTTATAATGAGGATTCCAGATACTTCTCAGGGACAAGTGAAAAATTTAAAACCAGGCCTCTTGAGTTTCTTTTTCAGAGTTCCCATCTATGCTAAGACTGTCGTAGTATCAAGTTCTGTCTCTGATGTTCAACTTCAAGATCAAAGGAAAATTGCATAAAACTCTGAAAGTAAACAAAGACAATCCTTCCAGCCTTTGGAAGTTATAAATGCCAGGGCTTTAAACTGCCAGGGAAGCACAGTGAGTCTTCCATTTGTCAGCCATCTACGGCCTCAAAGCCCACCCTTGACTCTTCACCCGTGAGTAGCCACTGGGCGGCTACTTGATTCCCATGGTCAGCAAAATTTCCAAACCCCGCTGTCTGAAGTTTCTCTCTTCCGTGTCTCTAATCCTGAGAGGTTCCTCCGTCCTGCTGGGATGACTCTCATCCCTGTGGCCTCCATTTTGACAAATGCAGGGAACACATCTGTGTCTTCCTTGGACTCGGCTTCCTTCTGGAGAAGATGTATTCTCTAGACTTCTCTGGTGCATTGAACATTCGTCCGATGGTCTTCCCAGTTCACTGATTACTCACCACACTGCAGCATGCTGGCTCTTTCTCGCCCTGCTCTCAGGTGGCGGCTATGTCTCCTTGGCTCCACCACGAGCCTGCTCCATCTGGACCCTGACAGGCACCCCCTTCCTACCCACCATCTCCATGCTCACGATTCCAGGTCCTGACCTCTGATCAGTTATTTCCACAGAGCTCAAGGCTATCTAAGAATTCAGCTAGATGACCGGAGGCATAATTATTTAAAATCAGTACGTGAGACTATGACCCGCTTTCCTCGAATCCTTCAGAGGCCTCCCCAGCTGATATGACGCCAGAATATGCCTGTAAGGTAAAGCATCTTTGATTTTCCTGAATCTTTTTTGGCATCCCCTGAGAATATATCCTCAAGCTGGTGACTCACCACCTGTCTGGCGCCTCCCAATAGGGCTCCCTCGCTGCAAAAACTTCTCACTTCTTGGTATTCTGAGTCAGTTTTTCCACTGTTTGGTTCTTAATCCACACAGAAGGCAGAATGACTTCTTTAAAATGTTTTTTGGGCTGAAAGAATGGCTTAGCTATGCAAAGAGTGTACTGTTCTTACAGAGGACTTGGTTTCAGCCCCAGAATCCATCCATGTTGAAGTAAAGGCTCACAATTACCTGCAACCCCAGATCCAGAGGCTCTGACTCCCTCTTCTGGCCACTTTGGACTCTGCACCCATGTGCATGCGCACGCACGCGCGCACACACACACACACACACACACACACACACACGCCATTTAAAATGAATAAAACTTTTTAAAAGCATAGGTTTTAATGCCTGCTCAAGAGCTATCAGTGGCTTCCCTTGGTTCCTGGACTCATATTTATGTTCTTTGTTATAGCCCAGAAGACTGTAAAAGCAGCTTCAGCCGGTATTTCTGGCATCTTCTTCCCACTTCATTCATTGTTTCAATTATTCTAGACTTTTCTCTCATGTAGTAGCCCCATTCCCGTCGGTTTTCTTTTTACTCGCTTTCCTTTCTGCTTAGCACATCATCTTTACATGCCTGGATCAACTGTATCGTAGGAATGTCAGCTAAATGTTGTCTTAGTTACTGTTGCTTCAAAGAGACAGCATGACCAAGGCAACCCATAAAAGAAAGTGTTTGACTGGGAGCTTCCTTACAGCTTCAGAGGGTCAGTCCACATCGTCATGGCAGGGAGCACGGCAGCATACAGGGCCCTGGAGAAGCAGCTGAGAGCTACTTCCTGCAACACTGAAACCTCAAATCTGACCCACGCCCCCTGTGACACACTTCCTCCAACAAAGCCACACCTACTGCAACAAGACCACACCTTCTAACCCCTTTAATCCTTTCAAACAGCTACACTCTCTGGTGACCAAGCATTCAAATATATGAGCCCACCCAGACCACCACAAATGTCATGCTTCTATGGGTGCCTTATTTTTTTATGTGGGCTTTCCTTGATCCTCCCGTCTACAAGGCCTCGTCATATGCCTTCAGGCAGCCTTCTCAATCTTACTGTCTGTTTATCTTCAGCAGGCTTCCTGGCGCCACTGAAAACAATCGTTTCTGTTTAACCGTTTGTGGTCTCTGGGTCCATTCATCACCTGACTGCTGCTATGCACTCACCACACTGAAGAAGGAAGTCCAGGGGGAGCTGCTGCTCTGTTGGATTTACCCAGGGGCTGCCTCTCTGGCTTTCCTAGCCCATCCACGATAAGAACCTGCATCAGGAGTGATGCTTCAAGTGGACGTCACCACAGATTCTTCCCATGAGCCTCTGGCTCTCCTTTCCTGTCCTCTCTGACATCTGTCCCCCGCCGCAGCCACACCCAGTCACTTTGCGGCCACACGTGTGCCTCACCCTTCTTGTCCCCTTGCCATTTAGCGGCTCTGTCGTCCGTGAATCACAGCCAACCGACCTTTCAAAATCGGTCACACAATTATTTATTGAATTAGTCAGCAACGTCACTATTTCTAGCACATGCTTCCATGATGGTTTTTCTCAGACTGTGACAAAGTTATATACTTATAATCATGTCTCCCAATTAGAATCATTAAAGACATAAAGTTTCATATTCATCTTTCACCCAGCAGCTGACAGCAGGCAGGTATTCAATGCAATAAATGTTTTTAACTGAATCAACTTGACCCCCTGCCATGTGAAAATATAAATAGAACATCAGCCACTTTCCCTCTAAGGAATAAATTTAAGGAAGAAATAACAAGTTTTACATTATTAAAAAAAGCTATATTACCAACATCACAGAATGCTGTTTATATTGTGAGTTTTCTTCACATTCCTATCTTTAAAATTCATACAAACTGGAAGCCTGGAAGTAATACTAACTTTTCCAAAGCTGCAAACTATCAAGCTAAACATTTAGAAATCAAATGCAGTATCTTTAGAGAACCAAGGCCAGCTAGACTCCTATGCAGCAGCAGACAGGATCATTGGACCCAGTCTCACTTAGAAACACCATGGGGTCTGGCACTCCAAGTGCTACCCAGACTCTGGCCTGCAGAAGTGACCAGATTGGAAGGATGAGTCACTTTGGGCCTCGGATACACCCCAGTCTCAGAAATTTCTCCTGAGAGGCCTTAGTTTTCCTACATGAGCAGAGGTGAGAGTGTTTCTGGTTTTCTCAACTAAGGGCATCAGAAGTCCTCATTAATGCCAGGTGGTGGTAGCGCACACCTTTAATCCCAACACTCGGGAGACAGAGGCAGGAGGATCTCTGTGAGTTGGAAACTGGTCTCATCTACAAGAGCTAGTTCCAGGACAGGTTCCAAAGCTACACAGGGAAATCCATCTCAAAAAAACAAAAACAAACAACAACAACAAAAAGTCCTCATCATCCCTAACAAGTCACAGTCCTTTGAGACCCAACACACTCAGACTGGAAATCTGTCCAAATGTCATTTCCTACCTTGGGCATGCAGATGAGCAGGTGTCCTGTTGTCTGAGACCGTTTGGCAGAGCTAATGTCGGGCTGCACCTCCGCAGAGAGGGCGAGCTGAAATGGCTGGGGGCGAGAGAACAAGGGGCCATGGAGAACACGGGCATGTTAAAACAAAAGCCCACCTCGAGGGGCCTTTCCACTACAAACTCATCACACGCTGTTAAATTGAGACAGCTGTTCAGATGCATCAAAATGCACTATATAGGCTGTTCTCGGCACACATGAACCGTGTTAGCTGGATTTAGGACAGTCTAAGGAGTATTCGACAGCCACAATCAGTAAAATCTCCATGAGTCCATTTAGAGTGGAAGGCTCACTTTTAGATAAAACATCAATATATGTCTATTTGAATGTCTCTCTGGGCTAACCCAAATGAATGCTCAGAATCAGAAAAAAATACTACTTCAAAATGATATAGGTGGCAAGACTTGGCTTGTTTAACCCACAGGAACAGCTGACCTGAACAAGGGTTAGCTCTTGAACCCCAGGCTGATGGCTGGGAATCCAGCATGGGACTGATCCAGACTGCGTGAGTGTGGGTGTCAGTGAGGAGGCCTAGGCAATCTATGGGTCCTTGGGTATTAGATCAGTATTTATCCCTGGCATACAAACGGACTTTGGGTGTCCATCCACAATGAGAGATGCACTCTCAGCCTGGACTCTTGGGGGAGGGCCTAGGCCCTACCCTGGATGAAATGACAGACTCTGGAGATCCTCCATGGAAGGTCTCACCCTCCCTGGAGAAAGGAATGAGGATTGGGGGAGGGGAGGATGAGGGGGTTGGTGGGAGGGCTTGGGAGGAGGGGAGGGAGAGGGACCTGGGATTGACAAGTGAAGCAACCTTGTTTCTAATTTAAATTTTAAAATTAAAAATAAGACATAAAAAATGGTAAAATTTTACTTTCCATGAACGAACTCACTGACCACTTAGAATGGGCATCCAGTTTAACTTTATGGCCATAGTATGAACTTTGGAAGTCTACCGTGCACCAGGGGCAGATCTAAAGCATTCATATTCTCAAAATCCAAGAGGGTAACGGCCATTCCCACTGTATACCATCCTGTGGTATAAACCCGCTTGCCTAACAAACAGTGCACTGGTTGGGTTCTAGTTTTTCTGATTAGGTGATATATATATTTTTTTAAAAACTGGGACCACGCAGCTTAGGTCAGGACTTATATTTAAAACGGCAACGCTCATGGTTATGCCTACCTTTCCTTTGACCGTTACTCGAACATAAGTTGGTTGTACATCAACCTCAATCAAGGAAGTATCCATGTACCTTCAAAATCAAGCACACCACATCTGGGAATTGTTGAAAAACAAACATCCAGCCCAAAGAAGTAAAACATGGAAGCATGCGTACAAGACCACTTTAGATGAAGAAAGTTTTCAATGTCCACACCAAACTGGTCCTAAAATGCTGGCCTTAAATTATTCCTGGTCCAGAGGAAATTCAATATATCAGCAATCTCATTTTTAGACATACAAGTACACTTGGCATTGATTGCCCCTAGCCCAAAAATATCTGAGGTCTGAAAAACCAGAGGTTTGCAAAAACAAAAATGGTTTGTTATATTCTTCCATGAATATTTTATTCGAAGCCCCTAGTGTTTTAGGAGCTGGGAATGCTGCATCCACCACACTCCGGGCCAATGGCCACTCTCTGCTTTGCAGATGCATCTGTGCCCTGCAGCTGCTCTGCAGGTGCCCTGGACCTGCACCTCTGGGATGGGAGCATCTTTCCCTGGAAGGTACAAATGGCTGAACGACAGTGCTTGAGACAGGAGCATCAGAAATATCACAGCTCTGAGAATCATCTCAGCTCTGCCAGCATGGTGCAAGAGTCCATAGCCATGGGGCCAATGGTTTCAACCTTTTCATCTTTGTGCATTTAAAAATGCAGTGACAGATGTCTACAGTGACGGACGTAGCGACGGCTCAGGCTAAGAGTACTTGTTGCTCTTGCAGAGGACCTGCGTTGAGGTTCTCAGCACAATGGCTCATGACCACCTGTGGCTCCAGCTCCAGGGACTCCAGTGCCCTATTTCGTCCTCCGTGGGCACCAGGCGTGTTACACAGTGCACATACATTCATACAGGCAAACATCCATACATATAAAATAAAAATAATAATTCTTTTTTTAAAAACCACAGTGAACACTCTCTCTCTCTCTCATTAAAACAGCAAACTGACTTCTATTTCCATGCTTCAGAACTCAAGGGGTTGTTACCTAGAAAGAGATCTGATGGGAGGGCCATGGGTATGATGTATAATAATAAATGCTTTACCTATAGACGGCCAGGTCCAGGATGATCTGGTTGTGTTTCTCATCATCTTTCAAAGAGAAATCAAGTCTATAAAGGACACATGAGGTGGGGGGACTTTAGTACATTGTAATGATAACCCCATTATATAATCGAAAGTAAAATACAACTGCTATATAAAAACCCTCGATGCCAAACTTGCTTTGCTAATTAGACAATAAGACATCTATGCTGGTAGCCTATTGGCAAATCACTCTTGCTGACTTTGTTGACATGGGAGTTTTTGAGGTAAATTCTATGCAAAGCACTCCCTTTTGTTTGGTGCAGAGATGGAGACACCTGGTGGCTGAAATGCTCTTCTGCATTTGAGTTTGCTAGAACCCAGTGAGAGCATGGATGTCCTTCTGGGGACGGGAAAGCCGCCTCTGCGGGCTGTGCTTCCAGCACCCGGCTCCTCAGGTCCCTGGCAGCCTTCCTTCTGTTTTCTTGCCATATTTTGTCATCCACTTTCATGTTGTGTCCCCCCTTTTCATTCTGGGAAAGGCTGAGACACAGCCAGTGATTTACGACATATTTTTTAAGACCTGTTAAAGAAACTGAGTTTCACGATGATGGAGATGCTCAGAGAGGAGGCACAGGAACTGGATAGGAAAGAGTCAAAGGCCCTGACCCTTCAACTACACTCCCTGGTCCTCAGTAGAACTGCTACACTGGCCGTATATTCCACAGAATTACTTGGTCAGTTCCAGTTTGAGTGACTTACTTATAAAGCTGTAATTGGTAAAAACCCATCAGCACTAAACAATATACAGTAAATTGTTTGGAAAACACAAATTAACCTCTAAACTTGGCTATTCGCTTCCGGTCTGCTGTGGCAGGGACTCTTGTTGTTCCCAACAATCTAACCGTGCAGGGCTTCTTGGGGGTCTCACACAAGCCGCGCCTGCGCGCCTCACCTCGTGGGAGCCTTCTGTGTGCTGTCCCCTCTACTTTGCTTGCTAACCCCACAACTCGATAGTCAGCTGATTTGAACTCTCTTCCTGTGTAACTTAAAACTAGTTTTAGAGGGTCTTTGTTTTCCTGGGTTGAGGATCACTAGAAAAGTCCCTACAACTTTCCCTTGATTTCTAGCAATGAAACCCAATGAAGAACATGGCTACACAGAATAAAGACACCGTTTTCTATCCTCCCTTGAGCCAAGGTTAGGACGTATGAAGGAATGTGTTGTAGGCACTTCCCAGGAATTTCCCTTTAAAAAAAATCAGTCCTTCCCTGACCAATTCCCTTATTCAGCTGAGAATAACAGATGACGCTCGCACATGAATCATGGAGACTTCTTATCAAGCTTGTAATTAATTGTCTAGGCAAAAGGTAGCAGCCCACTCTAAGACATAAGTGAAGGAGTTGATGCATAGTTGGTCTCTGGTACTAAGAAAATAAAAGTATATGGTGATCATTGATAAAAGCCAAGGAGAGGAGAATCAGGAACCAAGGGATTTGGGTTTTAGCGCCAACGGGTAGATAACTGTTGCTGAACTGGAGACAATGGGGGTGAGCTTGGTGGGGAGTTGAGAGCAGTAAGTAGGGAAACAGAACGCAGTTGTTCTTTTCCAGCCTTCTGTACCAACAAACTGATGCCACCTAGCTGACTATCGCAGCCTTGAACTCAGGGGCAAGGCAGGGACTGTTAAGAATAGTATGAACACTGTGGTGAAAACTACAGGATTTAATTTTAATTATTTATTTTTGTCAGATTGAAAGTTTGTTCATATGATATACTTTATTATATTCTTTTTTCTCCCCCTAAGTCCTCCTAGATTGTCCCCACGCCTCTGTCTATCGAATCTCATGCGCTCTCTCTCTCTCTCTCTCTCTCTCTCTCTCCTCTCTCTCTCTCTGTATTCCTGTACTTGGGCCTGTCCTGGGGTGAGGTTGATATACCCACTGTCACTTCATCTGCTCTACCAGAAGATGTCACCTGCAAATAGCTTCAAGATTAGGGGTGGGGCTTTGTGATCACTTTCATTTCTCTGTGCTGGGAAAAGACAGAGGATTTCATGAAGTCCTGACCCAGAAAACAGGAAAACATCACACACACACACACACACACACACAGCTGAGAAACTTTGTCTAAAACTCATAGAAGAAGAAGATGCAACCAACCATAAGGGCAAGAGGAAGAGCTGCTTTCTCAAGGAGGGGGCTCTACTGGTTCCAAATTCCCAAGGTAGAGTACGGTGGGGCCTGGGCTTTGCATCCTCACTGTGCAAATGATGGGGCTAAGAGCGTTTTTGGATAATGCAATATTCATGAAGAATTGCAAAGAACCAAGCAATGGTGGCACACGCCTTTAATACCAGCACATGGGAGGCAGGTGGATCTCTGTGAGTTCAAGGCCAGCCTGGTCTACAAAGTGAGTTCCAGGACAACCAGAGCAACAGAGGGAAACCCTGCATTGAAACCCACCCCCCAAAAAATAGGAAGAAGAAATGCATAGTAAAAAAAATCAGAGACGGAGTACTGACAAGTCTGCTAAGAAATCTGGCTACTGCTTGGGGCAGAGAAGCAGGAGTTGACAGAAACTGGAGAAAGGGAGGTCTTGTTTCCGTTAAGGAAAGAGTTATCGAAATCTGCCCCTATGCTGGTGCTGCTGGTTCAGTGGAGAGAAATGCTGTGGGAGAGCAGGAGTCGCTGAGAAGCTAAGCCTTTGATGGCAAGAGAAGTTGGATCAGTGAGCCAGCAAGGGAGTGCAGCCGTCGTAGAAGGAGACTAGTGTCTACTACAGTAAACAGAAGATGCCTGGTTGACTTCATATTTTCAGTGAAGAAACAAGGCCTTTGGTTAGGGCTATGGGAGCATAAGGCAGTGCTGGAGGTGAGGAGGAGGAGGAAGAGGCGTGACCCCTGCCTGCAAGCGACTGGGAGGATGTTCATCGGGACGGTACAGGGCAAACATGGTGGACTTGAGACCTGTAGCCTTGCACGCTCGCGCAAGGAGCAGCAGGTAAAGGTGGATACGCCACTCCCTGCACACGGAGCAGGAGGGACGCCACAATGCCTGGATGGACGTGTGAGCTGGTGAGGACGGACAGAGGGAAAGAGGAAGCGGAAGACTCTTCTGACAAAGAATTTTTGTGAGGGATACAAAAACCAAATCAGGAGGAGAACACAGTGTCGGGAGCATACGCAAAGCTGGAGAGCCTGTGGATTCCTGTGTGAATGGAGCCTGTGACTGCTGGAGTGGACAGAGTCTATTACACTGGAGATGACATTAGATGAGTTGATGCGGTTAAAGCTCAGGACATGGGCTACCGACAGCAGCAAGTGGAGGAATGAGACCAGGATCCTGTGTCTGAGCTCAGGGGTCAATGACGTGTGAAGAGCCACCAGGACTGACGGTGGGGTTGGCGAGGCGGAGAAATGGGGACCTAAGTGCTGGGATCTTCCATGAACTGAGAGGGAAGGTGGTTCGGGACTGACTGGGGCTATGTGGAAGACTAGGAAGAAGGGATGAACAGCCACAGGGGCTGGGGGAGTTTAGGGAAAGGCTGCAGGAGTTGCTGAGGGCTATAGCTTCACCTGAGGTTGTCGGAGAGAAACAAGGGGTCAATGGTGGAAGCAGAAGTTCTGCAATTAGTCACTGGACAGAGATAGAAAGAGCCTGAAGGAAAGGGTGAGAATGATGATGGATCTGTAAGGTCAGAAAATGCAGTGGATGGCAGACGGGCACAGGAGAGAGGAAACTGGGATAGCTGTAAGGGCATATGATTCTGATGAGGACAGATGACCTGGGGCATGAAGGAGGAGGGGCATCCAAGCAATAGAGGGGCTAGGGGGCTGTAGAGAGTAATCTCTTCATAGAGCACTGCCTTTAGAGCAGGTGGGATAGTTAGTGTGGTGGGAAGATTGGCGCTGTGTCCAAGAAAATGTCCCCACTGAAGCTGAAGACAGAGTATCTTCCCCTTAGGCTTTCAGGCTCTGTGAAAGCAGCTCCCGTCACGCCCACTTCCACACCAGCATACCTAGGCTAGTGTCTGGAGCCGCATTCCTGTCTGCTGGACGAAAGGAGGGCATGCCACACCAGAGACTGGAGTCTCAGTGGTGGAAATCATCCCACTGGGACAGTGTGTACAAGTCCGATGCATCAGCTTAATAACTGTGTGACTTTGGCCCCATCGCTGGCATAGAGAGATGGTATTCTGTGGGCCAAGCATGCTGTCCATGAAGATGAGGAATGCCTGGAATGACTCTAGATTGTCTTTGTTGTGTAATGACATAGGAAATGAAATGATGTCAATAAATGGGTTTTGAGTAATGAAATGAAGCTAATGAGATTTAGCTCATAGGCTTGTCATCTGCATTGTGATTATAAAAGGCACCGTGCCTATGCTTTCTTATTCTCAGCTTTCAGACAGATAGATAGAGAGACAGACAGACAGACAGGGTTGCTCAGGTATTCTGAGACAAGAGAATTTCCAGGTTTTCCTCTCTCCCTGACTGAGGTATTTATAGCAGTGCCTTTCCCTAGCTTCTGAGTGCTCTGTAGATGTGTTCCAGGGAAAATGTAGACACAAAGGAGTGCCTCGGTGTTCTCAGACAGATTGCTTGTGACAGAGTTTCAAAACGTCATAAACACAGCAATGATGCCGTGACAGTTTTCAGGCATAAAACTGTATATGGTCCAAGATTTCACGGGATGCATAAATAACTCAGATTTGCATATGTCAGGATCGATTTCTAGAAACCAGGAGAATTGTGCACTAGGAACCATCGGAGACGTCTGGCTTTTAACCATGGGCAAAGTGACATCCCTGTCACACTCGTCAAACTCATCCCCAGTGGTCAGCGTTCTCCCAGCCTGTCGTGTAGGCCACAGCAGCACGCGTGTGCGCTGGTGCCTCCCCAGGGGCTCCACCTGCCCTCACATACTTGGCTTCGTTGACATTCAGCACCTTCCCATCTTTAGTGACCAGCGTCCGGGGCGGCTTCGCTTCCTTCTTATTTCCACTTAAGGTTGAGGGTGACGGGAGAGACCAAGGCGCAGCCGCAGTCAGGGGAAGCAAAGCGAGTATAAACATTACTAATACATCTTTGCAAAATACTTTAAGAAACTTAGCCAGGCATTTGTCAGAGTATACTCACAGCTCACTCCCAGTGTCAGTCCTCTCAATTCTAAAACCGAGCCAAGTTTTACATGGCTACAGTTGTGTCTCCAAAGCTAAAAATGTGACCAAGACAATTTGCCAGAGAATTTGAATTGGGAAAGTAAATTCCCTTTCACGAGATACTCATGAATATTTAAATGAGTCTATTTTATGCATGATTTACCCAGATAACTGTCAATTCTCCACGTGTGTGTATGGAACGGCTGCTTTAGTTAAAATTACAATTTCTGAAATACAAGTGAAATCTACCCTGTGGAAATAAAAATACTGGTATATATGGGATGTGTAAACTGACAGTTCTTACGGCATCATTTGCAGTGGCAAGTCCAGAATTGCTAAGAATGTCTATCAGTGCAGGGCTGATTGGCTCCATGGCGGCACATAACGTTGAGAAGCACCTCACAGCTGTTAAAAACGTGTCTGCTTTTTACACGCTGATGGCAGAAAACAGCGGTGGTATATTTAACATGCAAAGACACGCCGTGGAAGTTTACTTTGTTGTGTAGATCTGGGGATTAAGTCAAGGGGTGCATGCCTGCCAGGGAAAGTGCTGGACCACAAAGCATGGTGTTTTGGGTCATCTTTCCACTTGGTTTCTTGCTTTCCACTGACAATCACAGAAACCATCACTTTTCATTCATCTCATTGCCACACAGACAACTAGCTCACTGAGGACATTCCCAAACTCACAAATCCCAAGTAGCCCTGTTAGTGGGCACGCTTTACATTCTAGAGTTCAGCACTGACTTGGAGTGGGAAGAAGCAGAGCCCATTTCTGAAAATGTGCAGTTGACAGAGCATTGCTTACAGACCCTAGAAATTAAGAAGTCGCGAAATTACATCTAGACTCTTCAAAGTGGCTTAATGAAACTAACTCTAATTCTTCGTTTTGCAAATATACAGAACAGACTTACAGAAATGCATTCATCCCACAGAACAATCTTCTCCTTTGAGGCTTAGGTTGTATTTCCAACCTAGGCCATGCTATTTCTAGATATGTGTAAAGAGGTAAAACAAAATCCCATCAAAAGAGATAATACAAAATCCATGATGTTCTAAACTTGTATTTTATGTTAATAGAAGTTAACCAATAAAATTCAATGAAAACATATTTAAGATTCATGGGTGATGATTAATAATGGTTTGGCACAGACAACAGGTAAAACACACACAGTCATGAACACACAGTCCATGTGAGAGTGCTGTCTCATTCAATCACAGGGGGGAAAACAGAATACCTTTGTTTTTCTTGGGCTTTACGCTGTTTCTCCATGTGTCTAAGAGTTTCCAATCTAGATTCGGGAGTGAACAAGGAGGGTTTGTTCCAGAATGCCATGTCCTCTTCGCTTTCATCTGATTTCTTCCCGCCACGTCCCTCTTCTTGTGTTTCTGGTACCTGGAGGTGGTCTTTGTTCTCCACGGAAGATGGACTGGGGCAAAGAAAACAGAGCACGTGAGCCCAGGAATGGACACAGAAACTTCATCTTTAATGCTTCCCTCTGCTAACATCGTATCTGAGAGCGACAAATGTCCTTGGGAGCTCACATGAGCTAAGTTGGAGGAAATTATTGCCTCGGCATCAACACAGATCCCTCCTCATCCATCTTAAAGATACTGCAGTATCTAGGCTGAGTGTGCAAATGCCTCATTATTACGAGTTGGCTTGGGAGCTCTAGACATAGTAGAGGTTCTGAGCTATCATCAGGCCTAGTTCAGAGAACCCGAGTGGGACCCATGGGCCCCTGTAGTGTCTTGTAGGGGGAACCCATGGGTCCCTGTAGTGTCTCGTAGGAGGTTCTGAAGATCCGCTGAACATGTACAACACTGAACCTCTGCAGTTTCCCCACATCCGGCCCTGCCCCCATCACATCATCCCCACATCCGGCCCTGCCCCCATCACATCATCCCCACATCCGGCCCTGCCCCCATCACATCATCCCCACATCCGGCCCTGCCCCCATCACATCATCCCCACATCCGGCCCTGCCCCCATCACACCACCCCTTGTCTATGCTGCTCCTGGTTCTGGCTCTAACAGACAGTCTGGTCGTTTGACCTCCAGGCTCTTCAAGAATCACTCCCTGTGAACGATCTGGAGAGACAAGAGGAGCTTTTGTGGTGTGTCCTCCACTTTATTTTTCCCGTTAACTTCCGATTGTGCTGCCTCATCTGGTAGCAGCCCCCTCTTCTTTTATCCTGCCTTGTTATTGTCTGGAAATTAAATGATCTCTCTGTGTAATTGAATGAGTACTCTATGAACTACTCAACATTTGCTCACCATGAATTCAAGACATTTACCGAGCCGGAATCCTGAGCAAGATAGAGCATGAGACCACTTTCGGGACATGGTTCTGTTCTAGCAGAGAGAAAATGATGCCCATAAACATTAAACACTGGCATGAATTCTCTCCCCTCACCGCTCCCCAGAATACACACTCTGTTAAAGAAAATGCTATTCAATGTAAGCTTACCTAAAGCTATTAGTTCTAGGTATGTTAAATAATTACTGTGTTGAAGAATATTATTTTAAGGTGTGTGACTTTTGTTTATGCTGAATTTGTCTAACCCTGTGAAGCTGTGTTACTGAGCCTGTCTAAAACACATAATGGTCCTAATAAAGATCTGAATGGCCAATAGTGAGGCAGGAGCAAGGATGGGCAGGGCTGGCAGGCAGAGTATAAGGAGAACTGAGCAAGAGAACAAGGAGAGGAGGGGGTCAGGGGTCAGCCACCCAGCCACCCAGCAGCCATGGAGTAAGAATGAAAGAAAGATACACAGAAGTAAGGAAATGGAAAAGCCCAGAGGCAAAGGATAGATGGGACAATTTAAGTTACGGACAGCTGGCAAAACAAGCCAAGCTGAGGCTGGGCATTCATAAGCAAGAATAAGCCTCCATGTGTGATTTTTCTGGGAGCTGAGTGGTGGACCCCCTAAAAAGGACAAAAAATAAAAGAGTAAAACACTAACTGTTGGGGGAAGTCCTGTGTATATGTCAATAAAGCACTGTTGGCCAATAGGGAACAAAGATATGTGGGACTGGAAGTCCAGGAGGACTCTGGGTAGGAGAAACACAGGGAGTCAAGATGTAACGCCATGAGGTAGGAAGCCCGGAAACTTCTCCAGTAAGAGACATACTTAGATTAACAATTATGGGATGATTACTTAAGTCAGAGCTAGCCAATAAGAAACAAGCAAGGCCAACAGCTTCATAATTAATATAGCCTCCTGTGTGTTTATTTGGGACTGATGTGGCTCTGGAACCAGGCTGGAGGGAAGGCTTCTCTCAAGGAAAGGCTTCCCTTTACATAATGGTGATCAGGAGTGGGATGATGAATTTCCATGTAGAATGACAAAAGCTTTAAAGGAATTTTAGAAACAAAAGATTGGAGAGAAGCACAGATTTTTGGTAGCAGCATTTTTCTCAGGTGTGCTCTATTTTGCTAGTGACAAGCAGAGATTCACGAGGCTGGCTTAAGTGAGGCTTCCTGACTCAGCATTAAAAAATAAAAACTGAGGTTCTTTTAAGAGGCTCCGCCAGCAATTGAAAGGTGTGTACATACAGCTGGAAGTGGCAGTGACCACATCTCCTAGCCGGCAGCTTTTGCTGGATCTCAACATAGACTGAGACAGTGAGCTGGAATCACACTTATGCCCGCCATCTTGGAAAAATGGCAGTTTAAACAGCCGTGGTTTTAACAGATAAGACACGTGGCCAGAAAAACATAAAGATTTACAGTAAAGTCAGACTTGGATGAAGAAAAACTTCTAAAGGTTTACAGTGTGTTTAAAAATATATGTAAGATTGAGAGAGAAAAAAGAAACGACATAATGTTAAATAAATAGAGAAGCCGGCAGTGGTGGCACAAGCCGGTAGGATTTGCTGCAGAGGCAGAGGCAGGCTGATTTCCAAAGAGAAACCCTGTCTCAGTGAAATAAATAAATAAGTAAAAGTAAAAGAAATACAGTAATAATAATAGATAAATAAATATGCCACGTAAAGATGAAAAATACACAGAAAGTCTGGATACTGTACACTATTGTGTTTTTCAGTTTTTTGATTGCTTAGGAAGGAACAACTGCTAAAACACGCTTGATTATAAATGCTGCTGAATTAATTCAACTTATACCTTTTAAAAATGCCTTGAATTCAAAATGTAAGTATAAGGATATGTTACTTTGGAAAGGAGTTTTTGTCTATGTTTCTACAGAAAATGAAAAGCTGAGGATTCCTTCCAGGTTTCTGTGGTTTGATGAACTAAGACCCCCGGAAGCAATGGCCCAAGTGATTCAACATCTAAAACAGCTAAGATGATGCAGTCTTACAGACCCTGAAACTAAGGACTTATACAGGTTTCTGAGTTTTGTCATGATCCCCATGGTATGAACAGCGCCCCCTTCCAGCATGAAGCAGTTTGGAATGAGCGACGTTCTAATTCACATCTTGTTTATAAATCTTTGTTTACATTTAAATGGGTTGTTTATAATTGGTTAATGATCACAACCAATCTCTTCTTAAAGGAAAAAGGGGGGTTATGGTATGGAAATGAGTACTTTGTATTGCTATGGTTTTTCATTTATTGAGACAAATTCAAGGTCAATTTTGTGATGTGTATATTTCTCCTCTTGATTAAGTATTGTGCTTATACTGATCTTTTAAAACATAATGCATAATTAAATACAGACTATAGATAGTTATAATAGTCAGAATTTATAGTTAGGTAAGTTAGGTTTTCTAGATATATAGAGATGTATTTGAGAGAGATAGTCTTCAAACCTTTCAAAGACCTTCAGAAAATGGCATTTAAAATGTTTTAGAGTTTTTCTTGACAATGAGAAATGTCTGCTCCTGGCATCACCAATTACATCTGAGAGGAAGATGGGCATCGAAGAAACTCATTATGGAGTTTGCTTTCAACATGACAAGATTAGACATTTGGGCAAGAAACTGCTCTTGCCTAGACTTCTGGACTTTTGCTGTATAATCTGGACATGCAGGACCCACAGGAAAGTGACTGCTGAACTCATACAGTCCTACAGGGTTCCTGCTTCATGGAAGAGTCTACAAGACTTTCTGCAGGACACAGAAAAATGACTGACAGACTGCTGATGCAGATGGAAAGTTTGAAATTTCCTGCTTTGCTGAGAAGTGTTCCAGACACACTGTGGCCTATGGGCTGAAGATGGATGCCCCAACATTACAGAGGAACTTTGGGTGACTGTCCAGGCAGTAAGATGTCTCTGTCAGTTCTAGTGTTTACATATTATCCTTCTGTGGTCTTTGATGGAGTTGAAGACAGATAGTTATAATTATAGTTTTCCTTAGTTATGATAAAAGATAAGCTACATATAGAACTTTGGACTCACAAGGATGGGATGGATGATATTTTCTTTAAATCTTGCTGAATGTTGATAGACAAAATGTTGTAACTATGTTCTTACTTGATAACTGTTCTGTTATATATATAATTTGACTATATTAAAGTTAAGACCTTTCTTTTTGTTTAGACAGAAAAGAGGAGATGATGGGAGAAGTCCTGTGTATATGTCAATAAAGCACTGTTGGCCAATAGGGAACCAAGGTACCTGGGACTAGGAGTCCAGGAGGACTCTGGGAAGGAGAAACACAGGGAGTCAAGATGTAAAGCCATGGAGTAGGAAGCCCGGAAACTTCTCCAGTAAGAGACATACTTAGATTAACAATTATGGGATGATTACTTAAGTCAGAGCTAGCCAATAAGGAACAAACAAGGCCAACAGCTTCATAATGAATATAGCCTCCTGTGTGTTTATTTGGGACTCATGCGGCTCTGGAACCAGGCTGGAGGGAAGGCTTCCCTTTACAACTACCAATATTGCTCAGTATTCATTAGGTTTGGGAATTGTTAATGAAAAATTCTCATTTAATTGATCTTTAGGAAGAACACTATTTTATAAAAGCATTGAAGGGACAAAATTAATGAAATTTACATACTACAGGCAGAAAATAGAAAAAAGGTTCTGCTTGGGTTTCTTTACATGTCATAAACTTCAACTATTCCAATGAATAAAACAATGAAAATAACTGAAAGGAAATGCTTTGCCCTAGAGCTAAAGTTCTTTCTGATACAGAAACATCAACCTACAGGGGAATCACTAACATTCTACAATATAGTGGTGAATTATCACAGGAAAAATTAGCTCCATTCTTAGATGACTTTTCCCTATAAAGTGACCAGTTGCCTTACTTTCACCCTTTGCCATCCAAAACTTAAAATGGTTAAAAAAGAGTCAGAGACAGCCCCTGTTCCCACTGTTACGAGTTCCTGTCACATATATGCAGGGTGCCCAGGTCAGTCCCTGGTTATTGGTTCAGTCTCTGAGAGCCCCTATGAGGCCAGGTTAGTCGATTGTATGAGCCTTCCCACAGTGTCATGACCCCTCTAGCTCCTACACTCCTTTTCCCTCCTCCTTTGCAGGATTCCCCAAATTTTGCCTAATGATTAGCTGTGGGTCTCTGCATCTGCCTCCATCAGTTGCTAGGTGACCCCTCTCTAATGACAACTGGTCGAGGCACCAATCTGGTCACAGGAGAAAGCCAGTTCAGGCTTGTTTTCCAGTACTGTGACTCTTGTACTGGCTTCTGGAACCCTACTCCTCATACTTGGTGACCTTGTCCAGCCTTAATCCATGGGGAGGTGCTTAGTCTTACTGCAACTTGATAGGCCATGTTTTCTTGATACTCATAGGAGATCTGCCCTTTCCTGGATGGAGACAGAAGAGGGAGGATTGGGGGATGGGAAGGGAGGCTGCAGCCAGGATGTAAAATAAATAGATGAATAAAAAAATGGTTTAAAAAAACATCTACTTGTGAAAGACTACTACTACTATTCTCCTACATGAGCATAGCAATAAGTGACTCCTAGTGACAGGTTACCCACAAATGAGTGCAATGATTTCCCACAGCAGAAAAACTTCTTGCAGGGATCCACAACTAGACTGAGTGCCTGTGTGCTATGAGAGACTTTGGAGCTTTCAGTCCTAAACCAGATGTCTTATCAAACCTCTCCCCACCAGGCCCAGGGGTCTATGTGGAAGAGGAGGCATAAAGATTTTAAGGGTCGAGGCAATGAACAATTCCAAGGAAACTCCCACATGCATGAAGACTGATGAACACGTGAACTCCCAGCCACTGTGGAAGCATGCACAAGACCTGCAAAGTTTCAGGTGGGACATAAACCCAGCACGGAAAATGGGGAGTGGACGCAAAGTCCTACCCCTTACCAAACGTGCTTTGCAGTTAATGGCTGCTGGAGAAGGAAACTCAGTTTCCTCCAATGGAGTCACTGAATAAAATAACACCAATCACTGAAAGGAAGTGTTTTGCCCTAGAGCTAGAGTGTGGTATAACAACCACATTCCATGGTGGGCCGCGTGCCTTGTGCAATTGGTCAATACAAATCAGACAGTGTGTGTGTGTGTGTGTGTGTGTGTGTGTGTGTGTGTGTGTGTGTGAGAGAGAGAGAGAGAGAGAGAGAGAGAGAGAGAGAGAGAGAGAGAGAGAGACTGCATGCATGTGCTCATACACGAACAAGTGAACACTGTTTTTTGGTCTTGTTTTGCTTTGTAAGAGAGAGAACATGAAGCAGGTGGGTAAGGGGAGGGGAAGATCTAGGAGGAGTTGTCGAAGAGGATAGACTATCATCAGAAACCATGAAATGAAATTCTCAATAAATAAATACAATACAGAAAAGATTTTAGAAAAGAAAAGCCAGCAGAAGCATTGGCTAAGTGACTTAAGTCTTCAAAATCAGACTGAATCCAAATGCACGTGGCTGGTGACAAAATGTCGGAGCCCTCTAGAGAACGGATGAAATTCCACCATAATGTCAGAGCTCTCTAGAGAATGAATGAAATTCCACCTTAATGTCGGAGCTCTCTAGAGCTCTTTTGTCCCTCTTCCCTCCAGTCAGCAGAACCGACAATCACTGTTCAAGAATAAATTCATTGCAGCTAAGATGCACTTCCAGGCCTTAAAATGCCTACAGTTTACACAGAAGGCTCGTGTTTATTCCCTCTCCAAGTTCCAATCTGTCTTGGCCCAACTCGCAGTCGGTTTCACCTGGGAGAGAGGCACAGTCTCCTCCCACTCCCCTGCCTCATCTCTCTTTCACCTCTGTGCTCATCCTTAGGCCTGGTTAGACTCCCCAGCCTGGAGTCTGGCCTGGGAGGATGGGAAGGAGAAGTAGGTGGGTGTCACCGCCCACTTGACCACTGCCCCTGTGACCCTGCTGGTGTTGCCTCTCTGTCCAGACAATGGCTTCTCTCTCCCTGGGTGTCTTAGTCATTCTCAGAGACACCACAAGAGTTCTCCAGCCACTGTTCCCTGATGGCATGGTTAATATACTAGGCTGATCCTTCTGGGACAACTCCTGAGAGTCTGACACTGACAGTTCAGGCCACAGTCTCTTATTGTGGCCACCACCTTGGTAGCATCCCTTTACAACACCTCAGACATCGATGCCCCTCCTAACATCTGCCTGTGCAACAGTCCCGGGTCACCACCACGTGAAATGTCGGCAGGAACCCTGTCCTCTAGGCGGCTGCCACTCACTCCCCATCTTTCTCACTGTTCAGTCACCTGCCCTGAATTTCAGTGACATTGTTTTTCCTGAAACCTTGGGGGAGGTGCTTCCTTTTCCTCCCTAATGAAGCTAATGACTCAATAGGTCAGCAAGTACCCTAGTCTACACCACTGACAGAGCTTGAGTATAGACAGAGCTTGAGTATAGACAGATGTCACGTCGTGAAGGATGAGTATAGGCGGACAGATGTCACGTCGTGGAGGAGTGATTAAATGAGCAAGACAAAAAGGACCGACATAAGTTTAACTCCATTAAGACATTTTGTCACTGTGTAGCCCGGGCTGGCTTGGAACTCACAAGATTTGCCTGCCTGTGAGCCACCTCACCCAACTACATTAAAATATATGCAGCCTTCAAGGCAGCCGACACCATTGAGGATGAGGTGGGACCAGAGGAATACTCAGCAGGCATCTAATGCTTTCATGACGTATTGTTTTCTCCTAAGAGACTCACTGCAAGCATACTCATGGCTGTCACTCATTCTGTCTGGGGGTAGAACAATAGCTTCTTGCTTAGTTGTCTACAAAGCATTTGTACACATCTGAAATATTTTATAATTGTTATTTTCTCAATTTGAAGAACTATTTGAAACTTGCTCACGTGGAATCGAATCAAGGGACTATACTTGGGATCCACAGAAAATAAATACCATGAAAAATTCAGACTCATAAAAGATCAATTAGAGGGTTATTAATCACATTTAAAAATGTATTCAGTATATAATTCACAAAATAGAATGTTTTAGGATGCAATCAGAATTATTCATTTTATAATTGTGTGATTTGCATTTAACTTTCTAAACTATTCCTGCCTTAGAAAATAAGGCACACCTGTTAGTTCATCTTCCCTGTACATGTACAGAGAGATTTCTTTTGGGATAATTTCAGATGCAAATGCAAGTTGCTGGTTGGGAAAAGCAATCCTTCCAAGGGAAGAAATCCTGCTAGAATTGTTGTCGTGGGACGCTCATGATGCCCCACCTCCTTGCCATGTTACATTCTGGAGCATAATTGATGCTGCGAACGCTTTGAGGAACACTGCTGCTGTTTTAATGGGAGGAATCCAAACCACTCCTGTACGCACCAAGCAGCGTGAGTGTCTGTGTACCAACGCCCGTCAGAGCCTGGGAGGCTGTTCTTCTTGCTCTCATCTTCTTCCTCGAGTTTCCTCCGAGCCTCCTCTTTCTCTTTGGCCCGTCTAAGGCAGTAAGCTTTCTCCTGCTCTCTGATTTGCTGTTCAACGGCTGGGTAGTTCTGCAATGCCTGGATCCTTTCAGACCGTTCTATTTCTTTGCCATCCAACCACTTAAACAAAAAGGCAATAAACAGTACAATTATTCGATTCATCAAGCAAAGTGATTCATGCCTGTAATGCTAGCGACTTAGGTGACTGATGCAGGAAGACTACCAGACTATGCCAACTTGTGAAGGTAGGAAGGGGGGGAGATGAAGGAGGGAGGATGCGAAGGAACAGCCTTAAGTTTATGTTGACTGATACATTTTTAAATTAGAAATAATAATGCCATAGCAATGGAGAGTTAAAACAAAGTAATTAATGGGAAATATCAGGGATATTTGTCTGAGTCAATGTATATTTCACACAGGCCATAAAGTTTACAAGTGGGTCGTCTGTCAAAATAACTGATGACGGGCTCTCAAAATATTTCTATTAATTTCATAACTGCTCACTGTATTAACAACGCTGATGCTTAAATCAAACCAAAGCTCCTCTTAACAATGGCATCCTGCAAGCCTCTTCATGGAAAAAAAAAAAACCTTACACAAGGAACTCCAACTCAGCCCAGCTCGTGTGCCATCCTGGAAAGACGCTGACAGAGTGGTCTTTGTTACAGACAGCGTTTACACGATATTTGGATATCTGCATCATTTTTCCAAACTGAAATGCAAACGTAGAGGGTGAGAGGGTGGCTTGGTCAGTAAGTTGCTTGCCGTGCGAGCAAAGGACTGTGTTCTGTCCCTGTCTCCAGGTAAAAAGCCAGGCATGCTGTAATTCCAGAGCAGTGGAGCTCAACACAGGTAAGACCCTGGGGCTCTCTGGCCGGCTAGCCTACCCTGATTGGTGAGCCCTAGGTCCCCGTGAGAGTCCCTGTGTAAAAACAAACAGCACAGTGTGAACAAGGCGGCATCCGAGGAGGAGTAATATCTGAAGTGGTCCTCAGAGCGATCTGCATATACATGCAACCCCGATATGTACGCATGCCCCACACACGAATAGACAAGTACCTGCGTGCATGCCCCGCCCCCAAACACACACATAAGCAAACGGTAAAAACAAAATGCCAACTAAGATACAAAATACCAAGGCTTCCAGTTCAAAGAGAGCTGTTATTAGCCCATCCTGGTGCTACAGAGGGGGGCAGAGTTAGATTCACGCGCTTGGCCGACAGTGGTTTCCCTGGGTGCCTGTGATCCGGTCACTGAGAATGTCACCTCACCTGGTCACAGAGACTTAGAGGTGATGTAGCTAATGATTTTGAGTGAGCAGGTGGGTCCCCATCGGATCACAGAGAGCCTATAAGCAAGACATTTGGAAGAGCAAGAGCATGCCTCAGAGTGACAGAAGTAGGTGAAGACAGAGGACTTGAACTTGTGAAGTTCATAGTCTGACTAGTTCCTGGACCCAACTGCCTATTGAAGGGCATCTGAAATACTGATTTCCTTTCCAAACCTCAGGTCTTTTTAAAAGCTGTTCTTGACCACTTTAAAACAAGTTTAGAGGTGTCTCTTTTTCTCATTGTGTGTGAAGAGACACATCATGTATCATTAAATTCATAATATAAAACTGAAAGGAGAAAGAAGGAAGGAGGGAGGGAGGGAGGGAGGGAGGGAGGAAGGAAGGAAGGAAGGAAGGAAGGAAGGAAGGAAGGAAGGAAGGAAGGAAGGAAGGAAGGAAGACCCAGGAAGTGGCCATAAATCCAAAGGTACAGTCGCCCTCTAGAGGTAGCAAACAGGAAGACACGTGTTTTCTCCTACGAATAATAGACCTGTCAGCACCTATATTTCTGCCTCTACACCTACATTTCACACTCCAGGCCTCTGACCTTCAGAACCCTAAGGTGAATTTGCCTTGCTCTAAGGCTTTATACATTTGTGTTAATCTGCTGAAATAGGGACAAGAAACCAGAGCAAAGTGAATTTACTGAAGTATAAAATTTCCAACTACTGGGATAAGTCATATTATACATTAAAATGATAATGAAGAGATTAGGAAACATATTTTTAAGATACTCATACAGCTGCTGTGCATAGGCTAGAGATGTCATTTCAAGCTTCCTGGCAGCCAAAGTAAAAGAGAAAAACATTAGTACGTAAATGTTTGATTTTCACTCTCTTGAATTTTAAAATCTATTAATTTCTGGCTTTGATCTAATATTGTGCTTTAGAATATATCTTAAAAGTGAAATACCATAGTGTAGGTTAGGAGAAATGTTACACACTATCTGCTCAGAAATACATTAGAAGAGTTCTGGACTTTTCAAAGGCTCTTTGTCTCCAGCATCTGTCCATGAAGCCTGAGGCCATGGTGATAAATCTGACTCCAGTTGAAGCTATCATTTATGGTAGTAAGTGGTTGCAGTGCACTTTCTAAAAGCAACTCAGTTTAAGCTTGAGTTAAGGTCTTATCAACTTGGAAAATTCTAAATGAAATATATTCATGACATAAATAAACGGAATCTCTGTAATAAGCACAACATGCAAATTTGTAAGTAAATATTAGTATGTGTATGTAAATGAGACCATAAAATATTAACATAACTATGGATTAGACATTATTGTATTAGATTGGAAGAGTCTCGCTAAAGAGAATTTTTTAGCCTAGGGTTCTGATGAACTTGGGGAAGCAAGGTGCTGTCCTTGGTTGTGGAGCACATTTGCCTGTTTGATGTATGTCTTCATAAATGTTTTAAAAATTTATTAAATCACATGTACTGTTCCTAAGAACATGACAAAATAGCCCTCTATCACCTTCCAGACTAGAGACCTCATACAGAGGACTGGCTTCGCATTTGGCCCTGTGCCCAGCCACCTAGTGTGGGGACCTCATTTATTTGAAGATTTCTTCTAGGCAATGTTCAAACTTCTCCTATGTATTTTCCGAGTCTGACCGACCCAGTCTGAGGTGGGCAGGCCTTCCTCAAGGCTAGGTCCCTGCATCTGGGGCAGCAGTGAGTTCATGCTTGGTGATGATACTTTGCCTGGGTTCACACTTATTGACTAGTGATATCCATGCTTACTGAGGATAACTGCCATAGGTCCACACTGATGGTACCCATGCATCAATACGCACTTACCAGTGACACCATCATTGGTCCTTGCTTACTGAGGATAACTATCATGGGTCCACATTGATCGTCACCATGCATGGATATGCACTTACTAGTGATACTTTCATTGGTGCATGTTCACTGATGATAATTGTGCCTGGGTCACTACAGAAAAGCGACTGAGCTTAACTTGCCTTTACTACAATATCCTACAGGAACAGACAACATCCAGCCAAAGAAGAGTAAGGTAAAAGGGATCTGGAGCTCACAGGTCACATTTAGTAACACTGTGAGGTGTGCTGGCGTGGCCAGTGCCCACTCACTATCTGCAGTGGTGCAGACACCAGGAAACACTTGCAAAGGTTGGGTCTCCAAACCCCTCCTCTGTTCTTAGAGGCTGAATTGAGGTTCTAACTCCAGGACTACAAACTGACTATTTGGAAAAAGGGACACGGAAGGTATATTTCATTTGTGGCAGAAAAAAAAACTTACTGGAGTAATGTCATACAAGTGGTATAATTACAAACAGAACTCCATGAGAAGGGACAGAGGCCTAAGCACAGCTTGAGAAGACAAAGGCAGAGTCAGAGTGACAAGCATAGGAGGCAAAGACTGCCAAATCGTGCCAGCCAGACCTGTTAGGCAGGAGAGAGGCATAGAGTCTCCCTCACGGACCCGAGAAGGGCCCAACACGGACATACGGGACTTACCTTTTCAAGATTCTATAGAGTTTCAGAAACAATGGCAAAGGTTTAGAAATCAATGAATGCGATTTTATTCTCTAGAGGATTCCCATCTCTGAAGTCACAAATTTTCACTAACAATTCCAGGAAGACACCGGGAATTACCATGATTGGTCCTTTTCATCTTTCTCCCCATTTCCTGCTTTCTTTTTTCTTTCTCCTTTTTGCTCACCTGTACTCTAAGCATACCTTTAGCTGTTGTAAGGTCACCACCACGAACTGCCTGTAGCCATCAAAGTCAGCACACGGGTTGCCCATGAGGAAGAGCTCCTTCAGGTGGATGTTGTGTTTCAGGGTTTTGACGCTGCTGAGCTCACCAATGAAATTTACAGTCAAGTCAAGTTTTGTCAGCCATTCACATCCTGTCAAGATAAGAAGAAAAAGGGAAAAGAAAAAAAACATAGAAAAATGGCTATGGCTTACTATCTAGCCTCTCTGGGTCTGTGGATTGTAACATGGCTATCCTTCTCTTTATTGCTAATAAACACGTATGGTATCATGCTTGTCTTTCTAGGCCCGGGGTTACCTCCCTCAAGATGATTTCTTTTCTAGTTCCATCATTTGACTTTGAATTTCGTATTGGCATTGTTTTCAACAGCTGAGTAATACTCCATTGTGTGAATGTACCCCATTTTGTTTATCCACTCTGCAGTTGAGGGGCATCTAGGTTGTTTCCAGGTTCTGGCTGTTAGGAATAAAGCTCCTATGATCATAGCTGAGCAAGTGTCCTTGTAGTATGATTGAGTACCTTTTGGTATATGCCCAAGAGTAGTATAGCTGGGTCTTGAGGTAGGTTGATTCCCCAATTTTCTGAGAAGCTGCCCTATTGATTTCCAAAGTTTCCGTACAAGTGTGCACTCCCATCAGCAATGGAGGAGTGCTCCTCTTGCTACACACCCTCTCAAGTATTAACTGTCACTTGAGATTTGATCTTAGCCATTCTAACAGATGTAAGATGGAATCTCAGAGTCATTTTGAATGCATCTCCCTGATAGCTAAGGATGATGAGCAATTCCTTAAGTGTCTTTCATCTATTCGAGATTTTTCTGATGAGAATTCTCTGTTTAGATCTGCACCCCATTTTTAATTGGATTATTTGGTTTTTTGATGTCTAGTTTCTTGAGTTCCTTATATATTTTGGAAATCAACACTCTAGCAGATGTGGGGGTTGGTGCAGTTTTACCCATTCTGTAGGCTGCTGTTTTGTCCTACTGAAGGTGTCCTCTGCCTTACAGAATATTTTTAGTTTCATGAGGCCCCATTTATTAATTGTTGATCTTAGTGTCTGCACTACTGGTGTTCTATTCGGGAAGTTGTCTCCTTTTCCAATGCATTCAAGGCTATTCTCCATGTTGTCTTCTGTCAGGTTCAGGGTATCTGGATTTATTTTGAGGTCTTTGATCCACTTGGACTTAAGTTTTGTGCAGGGTTATAGATTAGGATCTATTTGCATTCTTCTATATATATTTACATTCAGTTATACCAGAGTCATTTGTTGAAGATGCTTTTTTTCCATTGTATAATTTTGGCTTCTTTGTCAAAAATTGGGTGTCTGTAGATGTGTGGATTTATGTCAGGGTTTCTGATTCCATTTCATTGATCCACCAGTCTGTTTTATGCCAATACCATGATGTTTTTCTTACTATAGTCCTGTAGTACAACTTGAAATATGGGATGGTTGTACCTCCAGAAGCTCTTTTATTTTGCAGGATTATTTTAGCTATGCCACAATTTTTTTCCATATGAAGTAGAGTATTGTTCCTTCAAGGTCTGTAAGGAATTGTGTTGGAATTTTAATGGGGATTGTACTTAATCTGTAAATTGTTTTCGGTAAGATGGTCATTTTTACTATGTTGATCCTATGGATCCATGAGCATGAGACATCTTTCCATCTTGTGGTATCTTCTTCAATTTCTTTCTTCAATGACTTGAAATACTTGTTATACTGGTCTATCACTTGCTTGGGTATAGTTACACCAAAATATTTTCTATTACTTGTAGCTATTGTGAAGGGTGTTGTTTCCTTGATTTCTTTCCCAGCCCATTTATTGTTTGTATATAGGATGGCTATTGATTTTTTAAGTTAATCTTGTACTAAGTCACTTAACTAAAGGTGTTAATCAGCTGTAGTAGTTCCCTGATATTATTTTGGGGTTGCTAATATGTGCTATAATATCAATTGAGGATAATGATACAGTGACTTCTTCCTTTCCAATTTGTATCCCCTTGATCTCCTTTATTTCTTATTGCTCTAGCTAGAAATTCAAGTACTATATCAAACAGATATGGAGAGAGTGGACAGCCTTGTCTTTTTCCTGATATTAGTGGAATTGCTTTGAGTTTCTCTCCATATAATTTGATGTTGGTTTTTGGCTTACTATACATTGCATTTATTATGTCTAGGTATGTCCATTTTATCCCTGATCTTTCCGAGACTTTTAGCATGAAGGACTGTTGGATTTTGTCAAAGGATTTTTCAGCATCTAATAACATGATCACGTGGATTTTTCTTTCGGTTTGTTTATATGGTGAATTACATTGACAGATTTTTCGTATGTTGAACCATCCCTGTATCCCTGGGATGAAGTCTACTTGATCATGGTGAACAATCATTTTGATGTGTTCTTATATTCATGAGTATTTTTAGGTCAAAGCTCTTGAGTGAAATTGGTCTGTACTTCTCTTTGTTGAGTCTCTGTGTGGTTTTGATATTAGGGAGACTGTGACCTCATAGGAAGAATTTGGCAATGTTCCTTCCATTTATATTTTGTGGAATAATTTAAAAGGTATTGGGATTAGCTCTTCTTTGTAAGTCTGATAGAATTCTGCTTTAAAACCATTTGGCCCTGTGATTTTTTTTGGTTGAGAGACTTTTAATGATGACTTCTATTTCCTTAGGGGTTATTGGTTTATTTAAGTTGTTTATCTGACCTTGACTTAACTTTTTCATGTTGTTCCAGATTTCCTGAATGTTTTATGTAGGAAATCTTTTAGAACTGACATTTTCTTTGGCCAATGAATCTCTTCCTTCTATTTTATCTTCAGCACCTAAGATTCTTTCTTCCATTTCTTTAATTCTGTTGGTGATGTTTGCATCTGTGGTTCGTGTTTGCTTACCCAGATTTTCCATTTCCTGAATTCTCTTAGTTTGTGTTTCCTTTGTTGCTTTTATTTGGCTTTCATGTCTTGAATACTTCCCTTCAAATGTTGGTTTAGTTTTATTATTAGCTTCCTTGGCATTCTTTAAGATATTTGTTGATTTTTCTCCAAGTTTTTGGTTGTCTTTCCCTCTATTTCTTTAAGGAAGTTTTTTGTCTCCTCTTTAGTGATCCCAATCATCATTATAAAGTTGGATTTAAGATCATCTTCTTGTGCTTTGGAATATTTAGGGCTTGCTGTATTTGGATGGATAGGCTCTGGTGGTGACATATTGCCCTGAATATTGTTGTTTGTGTTCTTACCTATAGGCATCTGGATTTGCAGTGATTATAGATCTAGACGCCAATTTCTAGATTTGTCTGGTTGGGAAGCATTTTCTTCCTTTTTTTCTGTTTCCTCTCTGGTCTTCTAGATCCTGTGGCCTGTGGTTGAGGACAGGTCCCCACCCATGTTGAGGACTGAACTTCCTAAAGCCTGGATGGACTCTGGTCCAACGGGGGGGGTGCTGCCCAAGTTTGAGGCTGAACTTCTACTTTGTATGTGCATAGCTGATCTTGCTGGGAACCTCTATGGTTCAGATTCTGGCCTGGCTTCTAGTGGCATAGGAGGTTCCTGCCTGGTTTTCAGGGAATTGGTCTGGTCTCTGGGGTTCAGAATGTTGGTCTGACCTCTGGGGATCAGCATTCTAACCTAGCCTCTGATAGGGTGGAAGACTTTTGTCAGAGGTGTGAGTCAGGATATGGTGACAAAGAAAGGAAAGGCAGTTGGAGTTACGTTGGACCAGCATGGGTAGGGTTGGAGGGCCAGTGTTACCTGGGGTTCAGGATGCTGGCCTGGCCTCTGGGGGAAGAGAAGTCTGGCACCAGAGGTATGGGCCTGGATGTGGTGACCCCCTATGATTTTTATTACACTGCTTTCCCATTGTTTTTCTATGGATAGTTAACTTAAAATAAACTTGATTATGTCAACAAAATGAACTCAATTCAGATTGGTTCATAGTTCTGCAATCTCGTCACATTTGGGGAGTGACCTCATTTCTCAAATTGTATAATGGAACTGAATTGTTATGATAGTTTCCCTCTCCCCCTCTTCACATTTCCTTGATAGCACTTGACTCCACCTTGGCCTGGGTAGGAGGTCATTTACTGTAGCAAGGACAGCTTGCCAGTGGCTATACCACTGGTGACATTAACACCAATCTCATTTTTTCTCATATATTTTATATTTTTATATATTTTTATATTTTTTTCCACAAAACCTACTAGGAGCACTCTAATTTTGGTTCCTACTAGCTTTTGTATGAAATATGAAAAGAATCTTCTAATCTCACTAATAACAAGGATATGTGAAGGGAAAAATGAGGAAAAAAAGTAGATAAATGACAGAGAGAACTCAACATCTTGACATGCCACAGGGCAAAGACATGTTCAGAGACCGTGAAGAGCCCAGCAGGACATGGGAGTATGTTTGGAAGGATTGTGCTGACCATGCTTAGAACAATGTGAACACCAAACTAAAAAGAAAAGAAAATGGTACTAACACAATCTACTGCATTAACACTGAATAAAGCAAGGGTCCATGTACCAAAAATGATGGAAGGAACAATGAGCTAATAAGTGGAGGAGAAGGTCACATTCTTCTTTAAAGTATAATGCCGTCCAAAAAATAGAGAATAATAGAATTGCAGGATCATTAATGAGTATATTAAAACCAACACATAAAATAATGATAAGTGATAGGATATTCACATAATGTCACATAATTTCTTCCCATCAATTGCTTATTAACCAGAAGATAAAATGTAGGAACTGCACAGTAGAGTGCCAAATTAAATTCTGACTGTCCTTTTGTTCTTTTTGTGACATTTAGACATTTTCTAATGTTTTAATTTTCTGTACAACTTTTGTCTTTTCTGATATTTTCTTGTACTGTGATTGAATGCTTATAACTTAGCCTTTTCTGTTATAATCTGAGCTCCTTGGACACTGGGAAACTGTCTTAAACATGGTTCAGGATTTCTATTGCTGTAAAGAAACACCATGACCACTGTAACACTTATAATGGAAAATATTTAATGGGGTGGCTTACATTTTCAGAGATTTGGTCCATTATCATCATGGTGGGACGTGGAAGTGTGCAGACAGACATGGTGCCAGAGAAGTAGCCGAGAGCCCTATATTTTTCAGGCAACAGGAAGTAAACT